CTGCTGGGTCACTGCCCTCAAGGCCCGTCCACCCGGGAACCATCAATCAGTGCCCCGAGGGGGTGAGCTGCACGGCCCTTCCTGTTACCCTCTGCTTCCTGCCATCTGCCTGCAGCCCTGGGGAGTGATTTATCGCCCAGCAGACCGGGAAACAATTACCAGGCTCCTAAAGGGCTCCCCACTTAGGCGCATCACCCTTGTGACACCAGCCGGAGGCTCAGGGCACCAGCAGGCAATTTGGGCTCCTGGGGCAGGCCCTGCTGGGCCGCTGTCTTCACAGCATTCCCTCTGGATAGGGACACGGGTCTCCTCCGGGAGACGAGGCCACACAGCCCCCTCCCATAACCCTGGCCCTGCCTGCCCGGCGCCCCCATGGAAGCCTGACTCTGGTAAGGAGGACGCTCGCTCGCCGAAGCCAGCCTGCAGGCCCTGCTGCCCGCCGCGCTGCCCACAGCCCCCCGCGCCTCACACAGTCTCTCTCGTGTTCCTCCTAAATAATCGTTTTTATAGTAAAATGACACGTCTCTTTTCTCCACCAGCTTCCACGCTTTCTTCTGTTTACCTGCTTTTGCTTCTCTCCTACCACATAATTCCCCACTTGCTAAGTTCTTTCTTCTTCTAAACTGGGGACGTGGGATTCCTCCCTTTCCAAAACCCCTCCAGGCCACTCTCCGCGCTCTGCGGGGCTGACGCTGTGAGGATGCTGGGAGCCTGATCCTGCCCCCCGCCCAGCCAGCCCCGGGACACACTGCAGGCCCCGGCGCCGCTCGTCGTCAGGCCAGGCAGGTACCACTGCAGGCTTGCTGCTTTGAATTTGAATGCATTTTGAATTTTGTCAAGGTAAACCTATTTTCTTGAAACAAACCTAGCTTCTTTATAGAAGATACACTTTTATCTGTTGCTGAACTGAGCAAATGATTTTGCCCAGAACGGTGTCTTCTGGGGACCGTCCCCATGTCGCTTCACTTCCGCGCTGTTACCTGGCGTCTCTCACCGGTGGCTCACCCGATGGAGCTGCAGGTGTGTGGCCACAGGTGCCGCCCGCAAGTGCTGAGTGTGAGCGCCTGGTCTGGAGCTCACTTGCGGGAAGGGCTTTGACCACCCCTCTGTAGGGGCTGCGCCTTTGGAGTCCAGCTCAGGACGAAATCTGCAGGGTGGTGGTTCTGCTCGAAGTGTCTCCCACGGGCTCCTGCACTAGCACGGGGCGGCTCTGGCACGTGTGTGTGTGTGTGTGTGTGTGTGTCTGGATATGTCCTTGCTATGCCCTTTCTCCTAAGGACATTTTCAGTTATTTGATATCTAGAATGGGGCTTATTTGCTTTTTTTTTTAGAGTCACGTTTTATTTATTTCTTTGTTTGTTTGTTTGCTTGCTTGTTTATACAAGCACTGGGTACAGTCAGAAGTGTGGGAGGGTGAGAGAACCCACCAGAGCCAGAGCGGGGAGCAGAGCAGGCAGAAGGGCCGAGGGACACTGCTGAGGGGAGCAGCGGGCGGCAGGAGAGGTCTGCGCGCCATGCGGGACCCTCCTCCGGTGGCCGGGGAGCAGCCGGGGATTGAACTGGCGCCACAGAGGCTGCGGGCAGCTTCGCAACCCAGCGCTCACCCGCTGCGCTGCTGGGGAGGCCCGGGGCTTGTTTGCTTTTATAGATGAAATATGTAATCCTGTTCAGTGTGACTTCCAGGTTCTGTGTTGAAATGTCCTCAAGAATGATGGTCTAACTGCACATACTTGGAGCTAAATTGTTTTTTGAAATGTCTTGTATGGTGGCGAGAACACACGACGTGAAACTCAGCATTTTGACATTTAAAAACCTGTAACCAGTGACAGCGCGTCGTCACGGCATCAGCTGTCCAGTTCCAGAATGTCTTTGTCATTTCAAAGGGAACCTCCCGTCCCCTCAGGTCACTCCCGCGCCGCCTCCCGCCGCCCGTCCCACCCGTGTGGACTGGCTTCTCGGGCATTTCTTACGAATGAGACCTTGCGGCATGGCGTGGTGCTGGGAATATGTTGATTCCACCTCTGCCACCTCACCCATGGTATTCCTGTGCGGCCCTTTTTGTGTCTCAGCCTGGCAGGGATGTCCCGTTCCTACTTCTAACCTCAGTGGCTCAAATCTCCAGTATTTTCTCCAGTCCGTTTAGTGAAAGCTTTGTCAGTTGTGTTAGCCTTTTCAAGGACAAACTTTCAGAAATTTTTTCTATTTTTATCTTCTCTGTGTTGCCTCTGCCCTAATCTTGGTGACCTCCTTTCTCCCTTAGGGTTATTTGCTCTTGCTTTTCTAGCTCCTCGTGAAAATCCTATCACTGACTTGAGATCTTGTTTGTAAACACAGACATTTACAGTAACGACTTCCCCCGAGCACTGCTTCACCGCACTGCCTGTGTCTGGACATATTAGGGACTTGCTTTCATTTTATTCTTCCCCAAGTAGTTTCTTTTTTCTCTCTTACCAGTTTTGGTGAAATATACGTACATAAAACTCACCGTCCTATCATGCTTGAGGGCACAGCCCAGTGGAGTAAAAGGCTGTCGTGACGCGCCACCGCCGCCACCGCGCCTGTCCTGGGCCCCGTCGCGTCATGCAGCTCTGTGCTCACGAGGCAGCAGCGCCCGGCCAGGCTGCCGGTGCCCACGTCCCCCTGTGCATGTGGGTGTCCGGCTGTCCCAGCCCAGGCTTGCCGCCTGCCCCTTTCTCACAGCTCTGTCACGCCCATTTGACACACATAAGGATATTTCCTCTGGGCTTTCCGTCCTGGCCCCTTGGTTCATCCGTCTGTCTGTCTGTCCACACCTCACTGCTTTCATGGCTTTGGAATTAGAAGGTTGAAACCCTCCACCTTTGCACTTTACAAAATTGTTTTGTCTCTTTGAGGTTCTTAAGGTCCTGTATGGATTTTAGGAGGGGTTTTCTATGTCTGCATTAAAAATGATTGAGATTCTGGTATCTATTGCATTATCTGTGCATATGTTTGGGTCGTTTCATATTTTCACCATATTAGGTCTTCCTACCAGTGAGCAAACACGTGTCCCCACTGATTTGTGTTCTTCAGTTCTCCCAACAGTATCTCATAGTAATCATTTACCTCTTCTGTTAACTCACGTGTTTTGTTCTTTGATGCTGTGGCAAGGGTGTTATTTTTGTAATCTCCCCTTTTACCTTTTTCATTATTAGTGTGTAAAATTGCAGGTCGTCTCTCTGAGTCGACTTTGCTAAACTCACCCATACTTTTTTAAGATTTGTTTTATTATGTGTACAAGAACTGGGGCACAGGCCAGAGGTGCAGGGGTGAGAGGATTCACCAGAGACAGAGTGGGGAACGGAAAAGGCAGACTGACTGAAATACACTGCTGAGGGGAGCAGCGGGGAGGCAGGAGAGGTCTGCCATGCCTTGTGGGTCAGCTCCCTGGCTGGGGATCAAACTCGTGCTGCAGAGGCTGTGGACAGCTTCATAGGCTGTGTCTTAACCCCTTGCACCACCAGGGAGGCTCTGTAACAGCTGCTTTTGGGGGCTGATATTTGCCTCATTCTGTACATTCCACCTGATAGAGAAATCATTTAGTAGTTGCCTTTCATTTTTTTTTGTTCATTTTGCTAAACATAATCAGGTCCCACCCAACAGAGGAAAATGCAACATTTCATCTTTTATAATAGCAGCGTAGGGCCTCCCCCGGTGGCGCAGCGGTTGAGCACTGGGCTGTGAAGCTGCCCGCAGCCTCGGCAGCGTCAGTTCGATCCCCTGCCGCCGGTGAGAGTCCCACATGGCACGCAGACCTCTCCTGTCTCGCCTGCTGCTCCCCTCAGCATTGTATTTCATCGGTCTGCCTGTTCTGCTCCCCTCTCTGGCTCTGGTGAATCCTCTCACCCTCCCGCGCTTCTGACTGTACCCAGTGCTTGTATAAATAAATAAATAAATCTTAAAAAAAAAAATAGCTGCATAAACATGTGATGCTCATCACGCCCTCCGAGGATGGGGCTTGGGCTGTTTCCAGGTTTTGCTGTGTGGATCGTGCTGTAGTGCACATGGGGTGCATATTTTTTCAAAATTAGCATTTTTATAGTCTTTGCATAGATACCTAGGAGTGGACATTCTGTACTGCGTGGTCATTCTATTTTCAGTTTTTTTGAGAGACCTTCACCCTTTTTTTTAGAGGCTGCACCAATTTGCATTCCCACCAAGGGTTTATGAGGGCAGTTTTTTATGTGTCCTCACCAATGGTTGGTCCTGGTCTCCATGGTGTTCCTTGGGCAGTTCTCATGGCGTGACAGTGCACCTCACTCTATTTATTTGCATTTCTGTACCTGCCTGCTGGCCATGTGCATGTCTTATTTGAGAAGTGTCTATTCAGAAATCTGCCCACTTTTGATTGCTGGCTACCTCTGTCAATGAAAAACAGAGCCGAACACTTGTTAAAAGGAGCAAAAGGGATTGTATTCTGACTTCTGCATAAGACAGAGAAACTGCAGTAGAACTGGTGTCAGCTGCACCTAAGGTACAGGGGACATATTTACATTAATATTTCTTATCGTGGAACTTGCAAAAACATAACAAAACACAGCCAGGTGGGGCCTGTGTGACACACATGTGTCTGCCACGATGGGGGCGAGTGGGGAACGAGGCCGATGACACCAGAGACTCGCGGAGACGTAGTGCACAGACAGACACTGCGGCCGCTCCACGCACAGAGACGGGGCACGATGAATAAGGCTAGGATTAAATAGCTGATTCAAAATGTCTCACAATATGTAAAAATTCTTTTCGCAGTGAGCCAGACGTTTTTGAAGGCGTCACTGGGGCAGGGACTGGCAGCCTGGCACGCCCACTTCTGTTGACACTGCCGCGCTCTTTAGGGGTCTTGAGGATCTTTGGGTCTGGTGGGCATTTGCAGGAATTTTCCTCATCCTGCGGAAAATTCACTAAACAGTAAATTTCTTCTCAGTCTCAGTTATCTTTTCTCTTCACACTGATGACACAGTGTCTGCTTACAGGGCATGCTGGGCCTGGCCTGCAGAGCACAGTGACTGAGAAGAATGAGTTCCAGCGACATATTTTTGGGAGCCATCTTCACCTTTCAGACTTTCCTTGGCTTCACTGGGAATTCCTTGTTGTTTTCTTCATACATGTGCATCTTCCTGAGCCTGCCCCACAAGAGGAGGCCCATAGACGTGATCCTTGCCCACCTGACCCTGGCAAACGCCCTGACGCTCTTACTCAGAGGGGTGCCAAGTGCAATGGCATCCTTCGGGATCTGGCTCGAGCTAGGTGACGCCGGCTGTCAGGCTGTGCTGTACCTGCAGAGAGTCTCCCGGGGCATCTCTCTGTGCGCGACCTCCCTGCAGAGCACGTTTCAGGCCGTGACTCTCACTCCAAGTGGATGGGCCTGGCTCAGAACAAAAATCTCTATAGTCATTCAGCCCTCTTTACTTTTATTCTGGGTCCTCAACATGGTCATCTACACTCAAGTCATCGTAAGCGTGACCAGCAGGAACGCCACCAGGGCTACGGTCGGCTATTCCTCCCGCTATTGTAGTAGCGATGATTTTAATTACCAGCTGAGTACAGCCTCTCTAAGTATAATGATCATTCGAGATTCCGTTCTGCTGTCCCTGATGATGTGTAGCAGCATCTACATGGTTGTTGTCCTGCACAGACACCACAAGGCAGCCCGGCATGTCCTCAGCTCTGCCCGCCATGCCCGGTACTCACCAGCACACAGAGCCATGCACCTCATTCTCATGTTGGTGAGCTGCTTTGCCTTCTTCTACTGGATCAACACCTTTCTTACTGTTTATTTAGTTTTTACAAATGAGAACAAAGAGCAACTGGAGAACTTTAGTAACTTTATTTCTTCATGTTACCCAACCATCTGTCCTTTCTTACTGATCAAAAATGAAAATAGAATTTCCAGACTGAATTTCATCAAAACAAGGATTGGGATTGTTCCCGCCTAAAAAATGTTAAGTGACCATGTGCCTGCACCCACAGCTGGAGTCATGCATGGGAGAGGCCACCGATGACTCCAGTTAGAATTTCATCCCCACACTGAGGTGATACGACTGCTTTGTAGGGCTTCCCTGCTGGCGCCAGGGTTAAGCACAGCACTATAAAGCAATCTACAGCCTCTACGGCACGAGTTTGACCCCCAGCCCGCCAGGGAGATACCCACATGGTGCAGCAGACCTCTCCTGTCTCGCCCGCTGCTCCCCTCTGCAGCGTAATTTGGTCAGTCTGCATGTTCTGGCCCTCCCCCACCTGGTCCCCCTACTGCTGCCTCCGAATTTAGTCACCACAGGGAGATGCCCCTCAGCTCCCTGCACCTTGAGGTCCCCTTGTCCTCTCACAGTCCAAGGAGGTCCACAGATGGTGACTCCCTGCTGGGTCCTGAAGAGACCAGGCTCCCCCCAGCATGAACCCCACTCCAATTCACCCCGGGAAGGCTCACAGGTGAGGACGGACTCTGTGTCCCTGCCGAGCCCAGCCCATCCCACTGCATCTTGACATTTGGACATCCAGAGTGAGATGAGGCAAATGCCCCATCCTCTCCAGAGACAGAGTGACCCTGCAGGTTCTGAGAGTTATGGGGAAGGCCTGAGGGTCCCCACAGGCTTGGGGGGAAATGTTTGTTACGCTGTAAATTTTATTTGGTTTGTACCAATTCAATGTCAACGTTGCTAATATGAGTTGAGCTTTAGCACATGACATCTGTTGTCATGATTGCCAGGTTGAAATCCGCCATGTTAACAAGGGGAGCGTGGAGAGATACTGCAGAGGTGTCCCCTTCTTTCACAAAAACACATTTTCACAGACACACATTCATTTCGAGCAAATATATTAATCCAAGAAAATCTCCTTTTTTACAAGTGGGGTTTAAATATTTTTGGCAAAATATGGTTCCTTTAAATGCTTCTGGCTATTCTCAGAGGATTTTTTTTGTCTTTTTTCTTCCTTTTTCCTATTTAAGTCTTAGCACTCATTCGAGTTATGGTGACTCTCAGCACGTATGGCTTGTACCTTGCCCAGAAGTAGACCACTGTGGAGCTACCGCAAAAGTGTAAATGTGTGTTTTAGTGCCACAGTGTTTCCTCTGGCCTTTGGCGTCTGCTGCTGTGAATCAGGAGTTGAGCTCCAGGACGATGGAAATGACAGCAAGTCATTTGCCAGGACACTCGGTTTATACTGATGTGAGACAAATTGATTTGGACACAGGAATTTTTATCCTGTTCTTTTTTTTTTCTTTCACTAAAGTAATGAATTATTCACAGGACCGTTCAGTGATGTAAAAGTCTGTTGCATGAAACGTCATAATTTTGTCTCATTCTTTCCATAGGTGTATATGACTTACAGAACTCTTGTGTTTGGGAAGCTCAAATTAATTTAGTAGTTAAATAAATTGAATCATGTTCTGTTCTGTCCTGAATGTCACTCAACAATACGAAGGCAAGACTAGTCCACATTTTGGATACAGTTTGAGGATTTATTTGCACTGCACTGGTGTGTGATATTCCACTCGATGCACAGTTGTTGTGTACATCGTGTCCTACTCACACATGAGCAGAGCATGCTTACATCATCGCTAGAATTTTATATTCTACTTCATCATCATTTATCACTGCAATGGAAGTGCTCTCCACAGCAGTAAAAACTATTCAGTGTTACTGCGTCTGTCTAGTTTTCACATTCAATTTTCTATCTTTTGGGGGTTTTTATTTAGTTTCCAATCATTTTACTGTAAAGTGTGGGTGAGCATTTTCACATATAAAGATTTTTTTACCTGAATTTGAAATCATTTCCTTAGGCCGTTTCCAAAAATAAAACTACTGTTTCCGTACACATTCAAGTATTTTAGACTGAAGGCTCCCTGCGGAGGGTCGTGCCCTCACTTCTCAGGAACGGTGAGGACAGGCGTCCGAGGCTCTCTGACACGTCAGTCTGTCCGTTGTCCCCGTCGCGGCTCTGGACACCCCCTCCCGCGCGCCTGGCCGCCCCGGCTGTCCCCGCCGGCCTCGCCTCCGCCCCACAGGCCCCCGTGGCGCCCGCGCTCCCCGGGCGTCCCTCCCCTCTGGTCTTGGCTCAGGGACGGGCTGTCCCACCGCTGGTGGCCGCCAGGCGGCGCCCGCCCCGTTCTTGCCCACGTGGTCCTCGCCGCCCTGAGCACGTCTCCCGCCCGCGCACTGTTCCGCGCTTGGCCCCGCGACCCCGTTCCTCCTCCCGTTTCCCGCCTTCCTCCCCGCCTCTCTCCCCTCCTGGCGCGATCCCTTCCCCGTCCCCCTGCCGTCATCATTCCGCGTGTCCCCACAGTGCCCCTCCGGGCCCGGAGGCGGCGCCGCCCGCCCCACCCGCGTCGTCAGGACGCCGCCCGGAGCCGCTCTCGGCGCGGCCTGTCACGTTCCGCCCGGTGCATCCTGGGCGTCTCAGCGTGATGACGCACGCCGAGGGCGCCCGGAAGGGCCGACGCAGTGAGGGCTGGTGACGGCCGGCGAGGGCGGGCGGCGGCGCGTGAGGGCCGGAGGCCTGGCCGGCCCGCGGGGCAGGAGAGACGGCGGCGGGAGACGAGGCGTGTCCTCGCGGCTGCCGAGGGGGAGGGTCGCGGCCTCTGCGGGGAACTTGGAGTTTAACCCGCGTCCATGTTCGTTTTCTTTTCCCCAAAGGCTCATCTGTTCATGTCGGCGCCGGGACAGGCCCGCGGCGCGGGAGGGCGCGGACTGCCGGAGCCGGGCGGGCCGAACGGGAGGCCGGGCCGCAGCACCCGCCGGGCGCGGGGACGGGAGGGGCCGCGCCCCGGGGCTGCCCAGGCAGCGCTCACCCGGCGCGCCCCGGGCCCCAAACACTGACATTTCCGATGGAAACAGCGATTTTATTCTGGAAACAACCTAAGGGCGTGTCTTCTAGTGCAGATGGAAAATCCCTATGTGTAAGCGGCCCTGCCCGCCCTCCTCGCCCCCCTGCCCGCCCTCCCCAGCCCGGGGCGCCCGCCCGCTGCCCTTCCCTGCACCCCGCCCTTCCGAGCCCGGGGGCCCTCGCCCCGCCTGGCTGCCGCTGCCCTGCCCCGACCTGGGCGCCCCCGCGCCGCCAGATCCCCACGAAGCCGCAGCTCCCGGGACGAAGGGCGCCGGCTCGGGGTTCCCCTGTCTGCAGGTCCGGCGCCGAGATGCGGCGGAGCCGCGGGGGCAGGACGCGCGGGCTGTGCCCGACTCTGCCGGGACACTGGCTGCGCCACCCCCCGCGGCCGGAGGTGCCCAGAGCCCGGCAGGCGCGGCCAGCGCGCCCCCAGCTGAGCGTCCACCTGGCCGACCCCCGCGTGGGGTGAGCGATCTCCCCGCAATCGTCGGGGAGCCCCAGTGCGACGCCCGGGCCCCCACGCGTGTCTCCCCCCGGCAGGACCCCTGAGGGCAGAACAGGGGGCGCCGGGGTCTCCGGGTGCAGCCCAGGCCTGAGGGGAGTGACGGGGCGTGGGTCATGTAACTATTCAATAATTTTTAAACAAGGATTACTTAATTATTTAATAGAATTCAGTAATAATTATAGTAACATCAACACTGATAATAATATTATAATATTGATAACATTAGATAACAATATAAAATATTAACTCATAAATAAATCATAATTCCATTAAATTTAATAATAATAGTTAAATTAATAGTTGTATTACTGATTCTGTTATTATTATAGTATTTATTGTTGTTTGTGGACAGGGAGACGGGGTCTATCCTGGAACCCGACGCCCCTTCCGAGCTTTGCCAAGTCATCCGACGTCAGCACAAACAGGCCACCCCGCAGAGGACAGCGGCCACCCCGGAGAGGACGGCGGCCTCCGAAGAGAAAGGGAGCACACCCGTGCGGGCCTGCCCTGCGAGGGGCAGCCGACCCTCTGCCCACCTGTGACTATGCAGGTGCTATTGTAACATGGGGTCTCCAGGAAAAGGGGCGGTTCAGGGCTCCCGCCCCACCCAAAAGGAGGGTGGAGCAGAGGGGGAGAAGCTGCTTCAGAGGGGACTGAGGACGGAAGGAAGCAGGATGCAGCCAGGAGGAGGCACATGGAGCCGAGAGACACAGGGAGAAACTGCGCTTGCCTTCTGGTCGTGGACTGGGGGACACAGATGTGGGTGAGAGACTCGTGGGGAGGGGACAATGGAGGTTTTTGTCCTGATTTTGCTCTTTTCCTCCCAGACTGTCTGGTTGTTTCTGATGCTTTTCTGTGGGTCCCCGCTGGAAGGTGCTTTAGACTCGTGACAGGCTTTGGGGCCTTGCTCTCTGGTAAAGACTTTTACCCACGAGGGGTTGAGTAACTTGGGGTGCTTGATTTAGAAACTGTATTCTTGGGCCTCCCCGGTGGCGCAGCGGTTGAGCGCTGGGTTGCGAAGCTGCCCGCAGCCTCTGCAGCGCCGGTTCGATCCCCGGCTGCTCCCCAGCCACCGGAGGAGGGTCCCACATGGCGCGCAGACCTCTCCTGCCACCTGCTGCTCCCCTCAGCAGTGTACTTCGGTCCTTCTGCCTGCTCTGCTCCCCGCTCTGGCTCTGGTGAATTCTCTCACCCTCCCGCGCTTCTGACTGTACCCAGTGCATGTATAAACAAAAACAAACAAATGAATAAATAAATAAATAAAACATGCCTCTATTAAAAAAAATAGTTAAAAAAAAAGAAACTGTATTCTTTGCATTTCCTGTATTTCCTAATTGTATTAAATTTCCTTCCCATTAAAGTCTCTTTTGTTTTGATGCAGCGGATGGCAGAACCTATTTAGAGCAGGCAGGTTTGCAGGGTCTGGGCTGCCCCTCTCCATGCCCTGTAACAAGGGGAGCAGTTGGCATGACAGGAGAGGTCTGCCGCGCCCTGTGGGAATCTCCCTGGCTGACTAGGAATGAACCCACACTACAGAGGCTGTGGATGTTAAGGGGAAAGGATGTCCTGAGCTAATCCCATACAGGCTTTGTGGACCGCACCCCCACT